TACTCTGAAATTTCAAGTAAAGAACAATTAGATGATGGCGATGCCGACTATGATGATTATGATGAGACACTTGAAGTTACAGATAGCGATCAAGAAAACGAAGACATAAATTTACAAGAAAAATATCCACGTGACATTAATAACACTTATAGTCCATCCAAAATAATAACAAATACTAGTGGTGTTTATTTTGCTGATGATTCAAGTTCTTTTGCTGTGCATCGTAATTCTAATGCTAATTTACAAGGTTACGGTGATCAGTTTGAAAAAAATGATGAGAATGATTTGTTAGATTTTGATGAAACAGACATTGAAGAGCGATATGATGAGGATGATGATGATGAGGAGGAGGATGAAGGTGAAAATGAATCTGATGATAATGATAATCCTCTTGAAAATGAAGAAGAACCTGCTGAAGAATTAAATGGTACAAAATATTAAATATTATATATCACATTTAAATAATGTAACTAATTAATAATCTTATATAAATTTTTTATAGTGGAAGAACCTAATGCGAATAATGCTGATGCTCCAGCTTTACCTGCCATACCTGCGCCTATTTTTAATGAAGCAATCGAGCCTCCTGCCGTTGATCAAGGATTTATAGAAGCTGATGATGATGATGATGAAAATGTTGCTAATGAAGACCTCGAAGGTGTTTTGGAAGCCATTGGAATGAGAGGATCTTTATGGATGCTAGCTCAGAACTCTGTGTTGATGATAATTTTGATCGCATTATGTTTAGCTGGCTCTATTTGGGTGCCATTCTTTGTCGGAAAAACTGTTTTATTGGTACTTTATTTACCTTTTTATATGTTGAGTTTCTAATTAATTTTATTAATTTTTATTGAAATATTTTTATATATATTCTTTAGATTAAACCTTTGAATATTATACAACTCCCGTTAAAATTATTACGTAAAGTAACGGACCCAGTTGTAGATCTCGTTATTGATACAGGTATCCCATGGTTATGGTCACTTGTATTTCCACTATTAAAATCTGGTTGGAGCGCGACTAGCCCTCAGATTTCACAAATTTTTGAAGATTCTATATTTGTAAATTATATGCAAGGCATTTCCGATAAAACAGAAGATCTGTTGGGATATGCTGCTACTTTTGTTGCCAAGATCGATCCTCCAGAATCAGTTATTGTTGTGAACTCAACCATTAGCGGTGTTAATCAATTTTCAGAATTCTTAAAAGCAAGAAATTTAACGTGGCTTGTAACAATTATTGATCGTTGGAATGGTTTTGCCTATGGTAACGCACCAACAGATAAGATCGTATGCATTCTTTGTGGATATTCAGTCATCATTGTTCTATGTGCTTATTATTTGGCAAAAACAAGAAACGCATATGGTGCTACCGTGGGTCGTGCTGTACAAGAGGGATTACGACAACAAGGCATAGTTTTAAAGGTATGATGGAACTTATGAATGATCTGAATCTTGAATATATTATTAAATATAGTAATATTTTTCTATTTAGGTCGCCTTTTTTGTCGCAATCGAATTAATTATTTTCCCGATCATATGTGGTATCTTATTGGACCTTTCTACATTACCGCTATTCGCGGAAGCCACACCAACATCACGGCTAGAGTTTTATTTTGAATCACCTATTACGTCAACTTTCCTTCATTGGTTTACTGGTACTGCATTTATGTTCCATTTTGCCGTGTTCGTATCTCTATGTCGAGAAATTGTACGATCTGGTGTTATGTGGTTTATTCGAGACCCGAATGACCCACAATTTCATCCGATAAAGGAAATTTTAGATAGACCTGTTTGGACTCAACTCAAAAAAATCGGTGCAAGTGGCATCATGTATAGTGCAATGATTGTTTGTGGTTTAGGGAGTGTTATTTACTTTATTCGGTATTGTTTTAATGGTATATTACCATTACAATTATCGTTCACGTATGTATTATATATTCGATTTTATAAATTTGTTTTATATAGATATTTTTTTAAAAAAAATCCTTTCTTTGTATAGGGAACCAATTTCTGATTTTCCTGCCGATCTTCTTGTATTTCACATCGTTGTTCCTGTAACTGTCACTTGGGCCAAGCCAAAACGGTTGTTCCGTAAATTATTTGAAAATTGGTGGAAAGTTACCTCCCGCACTTTACGATTGACTTCTTTTATGTTTGGAGATCGTCATTTTGATGAGGAAGGTACACATGTGCGCAGAACATGGGGTGCTTCTTTACGTCGTCTGAAAGCCCGAATTCCTAACCCGGGTGACAACATTATTGATGAATATGCAGAGGTTGTTTTTGTGAAAGATGGTGAACTCGTCCGTGCACCTAGTTACGATGGTGTACCTGTTGTTCCTGGTCGAAGAATGTTAATACCTGTAAATGAGGATGGCACGTTAAAAAATCCCGATGATGCACCAGTTGGTCAGGATGATCAATTAAACTACACAATCGTTTATATTCCGCCTAATTTTAAAGCAAGAGTTATTACATTTTTATTTCTTATGTGGTTCTGTGGTTCTTTATTCTGTTGTTCAGTTACTATTTTACCACGTAAGTGCTTTTTTTTTTTTTTAAAAAAAAAAAAAAATATTTTTTTGAGATTGTTGAGATCGATATTAGGATAAATCTGATAATTACTTCTTTTTATTTACTTAAAGTTTTGACGGGTCGTTATATCTTTAAATCTATCCTACACCATCAACGTGCAGTTCATGATTTATACGCATTTACAGTAGGACTTTATGTATTATGGGCATTATACATTTCTCTTGAATGGGTTATTAGTAAAATTCAGGCGATTGCCGGACAAGATCTCAATATTGATTGGGCTATGGTTCGACAAAAAATGTGGCAAGGGACAATTGTAATCGCAAAGATCTTGTACTTTATTTTATCATTCGGAATAATTATCCCATTTCTTCTATCATTAGTCACTGAACTATACATAATTTTACCCTGGAAAAAATTAACCACCGATATTCCAATCATTTCTTTTTTGCAGGTAAGTTATTATTATGATACAATCACTTTTTATTTTTGTATTATAATAATGTGTTATTTGTAAATAGGATTGGGCTTTAGGCATCGTTTATATGAAAATTGCATACCGTATTGTTTTTATGCTGCCTGATAATATTTATAGTAGAGCTATCAACGATGTAAGATTTATTTATTTTTCATTATTGCGTACATATAAATATGTTGTTGACTTAATACTTATTTTCTACAATAGATAACTGAACGAGGCTTTAGAGATTTGAACGTCAAATTGGCAACAACAGTATTTATTATTCCTATAGGAGGTTCTGCATTAGCAGCTGTGATTCTACCAGCATTAACAGCTTGGGTGATAATATCTGCGGCTGGTATGATTATTAATATTTGTCATCATTTAAAATTAGTTCATAATCCAGCATATATTAAAAATAGAATTACTTCTCAATTAACAGGTATTTCTAATGCAAACAGTATAGCTCTTTTAATTCGCTATATTTATCCAGTGTTTTTGGCGATAGTACTTGGTTATCGTGTTCAAAGACAAATGGGACAATTAGTACACAGCTGGATGCAGGCTGTTCGTGATGAAGAATATTTGATAGGGCGTAGATTACATAATATTGATCCAAATGAACGTGGAAATACTAATGTTATAATAAGGGGACAGTAATTATTATTAACATAGATTTTTTATTTACATCGGCTTATTTTAGCCACAAAAGAAAAAAAACTAATAATGCATACAATGCCAATATATGGCATGTCTCTACATTTGTATAAAAACTTTCAATAAAATAATAATTTTTACTTTAATGATAAAATTATAAAACGTTATACTCATTTTACAATATGTCGATGTCGATTGATTGCTGATCATTTAATTATCATGTGCAAATTTTATCGGCATAATCAACACAGAGCAGCTGAGGATCTGTTAAAAATAGTTTTCTTGGCAAAATCAAAAAGAGCCGCCAAGAAAAGTGAATGTGATCACGTGATAAATTGCAAATATCTAAGGGGTTACACTTACAAATGATATCATTATAGTAAAACCTAAAAAAAGAATTTGAATTTACAATATTTATATGAAAAACATTTCTAGAAATACATAATAATACTTTGTCCCGATGAATTAAGCCTTAATAAGAAGCGAGTAAAATACGCGACGCCAATTAAAGATAGATTGTAAAAGCTCATTTCTAAACGGTTCAATACAAAATCCATTTGCGTTTAATGATTAAATCATAGAAAATTCTAAAATTGTACCAACCATATTACCATTTTATATTTCATTTTGTATATATATAGTTAATAACAACGCAAATTTCGCAAAAAAAAAAAAAAAAAAAATTAAAATTTTAAATATCAACTACCTTACCACCTTATTTTTGACCATAAAAAAAAAAAAATTAAATATGGGAGATCAATATGACAAAGGACAATATCCAGGTGGATATCCACAAGGACCATATTCCCAGCCACAATATCCTCCTCAAGGTTATCCACCTTCTCAAAACTCTAGTTATTACGGAAATAATGGAAATTATAATCCACAGCCACCAATGCAACAAGGTAAATTTTGGTTAAATAAAAATTGATATATAAAACGTTGCTCATTTTTATTATTCGTTAGGCTATTATCCTACACCACAACCTCAAACTGTAATAGTCCAACAAGTACCCGAAAAAAACGATAATAAAGGATTATGTTTAGGATTGTAAGGAATTAATTTTTTTTTTTTTTTAATTTAAAATTATGAAATTTAAATGTTCACATTTTTTTCTCTAGTGCTCTTGGGGCTTGTTTATGCTGTTGTTGTGACGCATGTTGTTAAAAATATATATATACATAAATATATATATATATAGAGGTTTTCATAAAAATTCCGATCGTTTTTAACCTTTGGTATTTACGATAAATTTTGTTTGATAAACTTTTATTTTCTTTTTTGTATATTTTAAAACAATCTCATCAATTTTTAATTAAAAAAAATATATATATATTCCTATTAATTAATGAATATATTTATCACAAATTTCTTTCAAAGCTTTGGCAGATTGTTGTAATCTCACTTTTTCATCAGAACTTAAATGCACTTCAATAATCCTTTCAACTCCGTTACCTCCCAACACAACAGGCATACTCAATACACATCCATATTCTTCAACAAACGTACTCAAAGGTCTAACATGTCTTTGATTAAGAATAATACATTGAACTAACATTGAAACACACCCTGCGATCCCGAAATAGGTCGCACCTTTTAATTTTATGATTTCATAGGCCTTTCCAGAGATTTCCTTTGCAATTGCATCTTTATCTATGGCTTTGATCTCTGGAAAATCTAACAATGGTTTGCCACCAACATGACCTGAAGACCATGCAATGAATTGTGAATCACCATGTTCACCTAGTACATAACAATGAATTGCATTTTCTGCAACCTAATTTAATGATACTTTTTTAGAGTGATTTAAAAAGATTTCTGTAGTAACATGAAAAAAAAAAATAAAAACACGTTACCCCGATCAACGATGCTAATTTGAGTCTTAACCTAGCCGAATCTAAAAATGTACCAGATCCAAATACTTGATTTTTTGGCAAACCGGAAAGTTTTTGAGCAATATATGTTAATACATCGACCTATTTTTTTTTTTTTTTTAAAAAAAAAAAAGATAGATAAATAAATAAAATTGTTATTTTTAAATAACTGTTTAAAAAATTTATTTTATTTTATTTTTTTTTTTACTTACTGGGTTAGCAACCAACAATAAAATAGCATGTGGATTTATTGGTTTCATTGTTCCGATGACATTATCCAGGATTTTATAATTTCTCGCTATTAACTGTATAAGAAAGAAATCGAGGTGATTTGCAGCAATTCTTCACCCCTGTGATATATAACGGGGGGACCCGATTTCAAAAATTACCTCGACTCTAGTTTCACCAGGCTTTTGTTTTGCGCCTGCAGTAATGATGATGATGTCGCATTGACCAGCCTCTTGAAAAGTTCCACCACGAGTTTGAGTGGAAGTGATAAAATCCGCGTCTGACAGATCAAGAACTTGACCTTGTACGGTTTCTTCAACAATATCTACTAAAATGATTTCAGAAGATACCTTTTGAAGAAGCAAAGCAAAAGCTATTGTCGCTCCAACAGAACCTGCTCCAATTATAGCTACACGAGATCTTTGTACCATTGCGCTAGATATATTAATTATATATAGAAGCTTGTAATAATTATTACGGATAAATAACGAAGAATAAAAAAATCAGAAAGATTGTAAAAAGGGCATCTTTATATAGTTTCTGCATTAATTAATCTAAACATATTTACATTTCTGTATAAATAAACGTAATAAAGATTGATAATCTTTATCATGACTCTTTTTTTGCCATATGATTTTATGACCTGATTATTTAAAACTAGCCTTTATCCATTGATTACAACAAAGTCAGATTTTCATTGCATATTTATGTCATTTATACATAAGAATGATGAGAAACAAAAATTATGGTATGACAAAACCGTGATATTTCACCATTAAAAACCTCTAGTAAAATAATTATATTTTATTTTAGGTTAGATTTATATTTTAAATAATATAATTCCTATTGAATAACAATCAAATAAATAATTGATTTTATTAAGATTATTTTTATCTGTCCTTTATCTTTTAAACTTTTACAATCAACTTTCTCTAAATACACCCTTTCTAAATGCATACACTATATATTGCTCTCTAATCATGCTTTTATCCAGTCCCAAGCATATAGAAATCATATAAAAATCTTCTTAAAATGCATACTCTTTAAAATACATAATTTTTAAAATTTTACTATGAATTCCAAGGAGTGCATTTAGAAAAAGTTGACTGTTTTTACCTTTATTTTACTTATAATTTAAATTTAAAAGAATCATTATAATATTTCTTTTAGTTAAAATGACTTAATTATATTTTTTAGTTACTTAATAACCTTATATATAAAATTTTATTATATCTTATTACTATAAAAACTTATATTTAATTTGTTAAATTTTAGTAATATTTTATTAATAAAGATATTTTAAATAAATTGGTAAAGAAAAATAATTTTATATTTATTAATAAATACTGATTTAAACTTTTTAATACCAATTATATATAATAAAAATAATTATAATAAGATCTTTTGATTATTTTTTATATAAATATAGATTTATTAGACATGATTTTATTTTTTAATATAATCAGTTTTATCATAAGATATTTTTAAATTTATAACTATAAATCAAATCTTAAAACTTTCTTTTAAAATTATTAAATTTATTAAAAAATACATTTGCAATTTTTTTTTTATTTTAAATTAATTTTTTAAATTTTTCAAACTTATATAAAAAAATAAATATTATATCTTTTTTATATAAAATTTAATTATTAATTCAATATTATATTTCAAAGCTTTTAATATGATTTTTTAATATATCTTTAATATATCTTTTACTAATTTTATATAAGAAAATCAGATTCTAATAAATTTTATTTTATATATTTTATTATCTTTTTATTTTTTATAAATTAAAATATTTTATATTTTAAATAAGTACTAAAAATAAAAATCTAAAACTAACTTATATAAATTTTTATTTTAATTTATATAATTGTATAATTTAACTTAATAAAAAATTATTTATAAATAGATATTAATTTTCCAGTAATATTTAATAGTTTATTCTTGAATTTTTAGCTTTATGTTAATTATTTTTGTAAAAAGTTATAAAGAGGAAAAGTTATATGATAAAATAAAACTTTTATATAAAAATTCTATTTTTAAATATAGAATTAATTATAATCTATTAATTTAATAAAAACTTTGTGTATAATAATCACATTTAATTTAACTATATAAATTGCTTTATTCTATTTATTACTTTAATTTTTTGCATATGTTTATGCTCTGATTAATCTGTTTACTGTTATATATTACATGTTTATCTATATCACATTTTTATGTATTTTCTTTTTCAAAATTTATTGGATAAGGTATATTATGATATTATTCTCTATGATTTTGTTACTTTAAAATTTATTATTTTTTGCTATTATAAATATTATATTTTTTTACTATTTTTTTAATTTACAAAGCTTGATTTTTTAATAAATGTAATTACGCTTATATAATATATTTAATAAAATATGATTTAAAAATTTTATGATATTATTTAGTCAAAATATATTTTCCTTATATACTGAGAAAATAAATCAAATCTGCATCTATTATAGTACTAAGTTTTAGATGAAAAAAAAAATAATAACAGCTTTCTTATATTTTTTACATTTTGATTTATTATGCATATGGTAAAATTTATTTAATTAAACTATCTTCTTATTTATTGAATTTTTATATTTTGTTTGAATCTGATATATTCACTTTCACAAAAATATTATACATTATAATAATGTTTTGCTATATATATCATTTGATATAAATATAAATATAATCTCAGGCTAAGACATTTCTGATTTTTGTATTTATATTAAATTTATCATCATATCAGTATATTGCTACTAGAAGAAGATCTTTAACCACATTTGCCCAATTATATATATGACTTTATTTATGAAAATACATATTATCATAATACTATATTAAAATTAAATAATGCTATTTATATAATCTGCTAAATATATTAGATAAATACAATCTGTATATTTAGAACTTTTATTGCATAAAAGATTTTATCCAAATAAATGTGTCTGATAAATTTTTTATGATTATTTATGCTAATTAAATATAACATCTATATTATTATAATATTCTCTTTTGAAGTTGCTATAATTATGATAAGTAATATTCATGAGTTGTATATTGTTAATTGTGATATTAATTTTAGATTATATAATGAAGGCCTATAAAGATTTTCTGAAATCTATTTATCTTATAATCTCTTTCATTATGTGTTATTATTTTTATAAAATATGAAGATTAGTGTATAAATATATTTATTATAGGTTCTATTAAAAGAAAAAAAAGTATAATAATACAATTCTATTTTTATAGGTTACAGATTAGAAATAGTAATTTGCTTCAAAATGCTGTCATTTTTATCATAGTATATTATTGATCAATATGTTAAGATAGAACAAAATCAGTTGAATTACTTTAAATATAATTAAGTTTCTTTATATATTAATTTGTATCATGATATTTTAGATATATTACATACTGTAAATAGTAATAATATTAGTTATTATATAAGTCTTCTATCTTTATTTGCTAGTAATCTGCATTAAATATATCAGCTTTAATAGCTATTGTGAATTATTTTAGCAAGCCTGATCACTTTATAATATTCACCTACAATCTAAAATAGCCTAAAATTATTAGAGTTAGAATTTCATTAAAGTACTAATAATTATCTAGATTTAGTTACTCACGTATTTCATATAAAATTGTTGAAAAATTTATTATTCAACAATTATCTTAATAAAATTATAACATATATATATATATAAGAATTTCAAAAATGTGGTTTAAAAATTTTTTTTATTATTTCTGTTGAAATTTCAAATTCTTTAAAATATTCATTTGCATATAAAGTTATCAACTATAATAATACATAGTCTGTATAGTGTTATAAACTGTTCTTTACTATGTATAAAAGATGATGTATATCAGAAATATTATTTTTAAAATTTTAATGAAACTACTTGAGAAAATAATAATGGTTATCTTGTTTACTTGAAAATTACTTATTGTTTTTCTCTTATATTTCAATTTCTCTTCTATTCAAAAATTTAGCTATCATTTTTCTCTTATATTAATTATACTTTTTTATTTGAATACATAATATCTATATGTTTTTTTATAAATATTTTGTTAGAAAATATTTTTCAAACTTTTGATACATAAGTTTAAAATACAATTTGTATGATATAATTAGATAATATTCATTATAATTAGAAAGTTAATTACCAAAATATTCCAATATATAATAGATTAAGAAAATGTTTATCTTGCCTTTTATAATAAGAAAAAGGAATCTATTACTTAGTGATAACAGTTTAAAAGATATTAAAAGCTTATTATAATTTGTAACAACTCCTATTCTCATATTTGTATAAATTAAGTTAGTATTTACAAATTTGTAAATAGTGATTAATCTAATCCCATGTTCCTTCTTCAATATTTAAAAATATAGTATTATTGTATCTTATAGTATATATAGCTACAATTAGTCAATTATTAATATAATTATATTCTAAATCTTACAAAAATGTTCATCAGCATGTTTAAAATTTTTTGTCTAAGTTTTCATTAATAATAAATATTTATCCATTTATGTTATTAATATACTTTTTATAATTAAAGGCATCTAATATAATACCTATTAACTTATCAAATAATAATATTATACTTCTGTCTATAAGATTATATACTGATTGTTATGACATATGTGTTTATACAGTAAGATAGTCTAAATCAAATTTCTTAAAAATTAATGAATATTTGTAAAAAAACTGAGGATTTTATCTAGTTTACCATCAGTTAACAAATATTAAATTAATTTACTACTTCTTTATAATATATAAATTTATGATAAGATTTATCTTTTGTAATTGATATTAGATTTATCATATGCATTTCATATGATATATCTAAAAAATATTCTAAATAAATAAAAATCTGTATTTAGCCAGATGTAAAGACTCATTTGTATTACTAGGATTAATCAATAGATAAATAGATAGTATCAACTTATGCTTAAATAATGTTAAAAAATTAAATAGATATAAGTTTGTTTGATATCTGTATACTTTTAAATATTCTTTTAATTGCAATAATATCTAAAGAATCTAATAATAATATATTAAAAACAAATAATTAGAAAAAAAAATAATTGATTTTAACCTTATCATCTTGTAAAATTAGAATAATATTTTGTGAAAAGGTCAAGATAAATAATTTATACCTTTTACTAATGCTAAATAATAATATTTATCTACATATTTACTCGTTTTATTTCTTCTAATAACTACCAGTTATATTTATATAGGATGATAATATTGATTAACTTTCATTATTTCTGAATGATAAGGTTAAATATAATTTTTCATTATAAACTTTAATATATAAATATTATAATCTTCCTCCATTTTTTTGCAAAAATGCTTAATTGTACATACTTTAATCACTTCTTTACATTATTTGTAATCTG